TGGTTTGGCCCAAGCCAATCACTGGTAGGGTTATGCTTTTACTATTTATATAGTTTTCAGTTGTAATTTCAATAGACGATGATGAATTAGAATTGAAATATTTTTGGCTTGCGGCCGTTTTCTCCCTCCCCTCTCTTCCCGTTCCTTCTCCTCCTCCTCCCCGTTCCTTCTTCTTCTCCCCTGGTTTCTCAACTTCTTCCCGGCTACTTCTTCTTATTGGAAACCCTCAATCTATCCTACATCAACAAGCCTGTACAAGGGGGTCCGCCCCCATGTGTATACACCTGTACAAGCCCTGTGTAAAGAGGCCTGTGCAGGTAGCACGGTTATATTATTAATCACAGAAATATTGAGTTTAAACAGACCCTTATCCGCATACCTCTTCCCAATAAAAGAACCACCCTTACATAGTACAACTTGACTACTCTCAAATACAATTTTAAATCTCTTTTTGATAAGATAAATCCAGACACTAGATTTTTTTCTAATTTCAGGTACATAAAGGACATCATTCAAACTAAGGGTATTTTCAAAAGTAAATCTAAGTGTCACAGTTTATTTCCCTCGATTTTAGAGGAAGATGCATTCCCAATGAACAGATATTCTCCAACATTAGCAAGAGTGCATGAAGAAAATGCACCTTTCGTACAGCAAATGTGCTTGGCAGCTCCAAAATCTACCCACCAGTCTGTCATGTTGCTTATTCGATTAACTTCTATTTCCATAGTAGAGAAATTCTCATCCTCTACTACATGTGCGCAATTCTTCACGATTTTTCCTTTCTTATTTCTACAATTTTTTGCAAAGTGATCTGGTTGACTACAAATGAAACAGCCACCCACAGTTTTAATTTTAAATTGGGGTTTCGACCGATTGTTCTTTCTCACAAATTACTTTTCCTTTTTTCTACCTTTAAAGTTCTGGCCTTTGGTAAAATTTCCAACAAATTTCTTACTACCAGAACTTCCTTCAATAAGATTAGCCTTGGAATCCAAATTGGGTCTCTCCCTACGTTCTGCCATTCTACTGTCCTTCTCAGTTGTAATCTTGATAATCAGATCCTCTAAGGACATTTCTTCTTTCTTATGTTTCAAACTATTTTGATACTCTTTCCAAGAAAGTGGTAATTTTTCGGTTATAGCAGGTACTTGAAAACCCTCATAGATTTTATATCCCTTACCAATAATTTCTTGAATTAAAATATCTAATTCTTCAACTTGACTGACCACGATTCTTATATCATCCATTTTAAAATCTAGAAATTTTTGCACAACAAATTTCTTAGCTCCAGCATCTCCGGTAGTATATTTATTTTCTAAGGAATTACATAATTCTTTAGCAGATTTACACGACCAATAAACATCACATAAATTTAATGTCGAGCAATTCAAAATATAGTTTTTGCACATATAATCATTATGTTCCCAATTAGGTAAACCATCTATTTCCATAGGCTTATCGGTAATTGCAAAAGCAGGTTTATCAAATTCAATAACATCAACAACTTTAAGAGTTGTCAAATAGAATCACAACTTCATTTGCCATTTCTTAAAATTCTTTTCATTAGATAATTTAGATTTTTCAGAATACTTAGGAACAGATATATCTACTGTATATATGACAACTAATTATAAACGAATTTCACTTTAGAATGTTGGAAAATAGCTAGTTGCAGGAAACTTGCAGAACAATAAAATACGAAAATAAAATTTATCGACTAATCGTGTCTCATGACAGCATGATATCAAAGTGAATTTGTCCATAGATAATTGTTGCGACCTCTATAAACAATCATTCTTAGAATACACTGATCAAACAAACCATTTGTGCAACAATCATGAATGGTTTCAGAACTCTCAAGTGTACTAAAAAAAATATGTAAAACTCGAGTATAAAAATTACAGAATATGAAAATTATAATTTCATTTTTATGTGTTTTTTTTCCAAAAACAGATGAGTGTTTACATAGGCAAAATAGATATAACTACCTCCACCATTATCCAAAAAGACTTGCAATTTTTAATGGAATGTGGATAATGGGTTTTTGATAATAGGTTGTTGAAAAAAAGGTCATATTATACAGACTAGTTTGACCCATTAAATAATTTCGAAATGATTAAAATAAAAAATTATTATTTTAATTAAGGAAGCTCAAGAATCCAAAGCCCCAAGGCTCCAATCAAAGACTTTTATTATTGAGTGGGATGTGACCCAAAACCCAGACCTTCCACACTTTCCACCAATTGGACACTTCATCTAAATTAGTAATTTCTTTCACATATTATATTTATTGAATAGATATATAACATTGATCACATAACAGGCAATTTTGATTGCTTCTACCCAGAATGACTTGGCTAGTCCATTAGATCTTAACATTACTCTTGTTATTTCTAACAAGCATGTGTTCATCTACTCTGCCACTCCATTTTGTTGTGGAGTGTAAACCGTTTTGGATTGTCTCTAGTACCTTATTAATGGAAGTTATCAAATTCATCCCTGATATATTCTCTTCCATTATGTGTCCTCGAACACTCATTCTTATTTTCAATTCAAGCTCTATTCATGCTTTGAGTATTTTGAAGACTACAAACAAATCTTCCTAGGGACAATACCGATGTTGCCAAACATCAAAATGAACCAACTTCAAAAAAAACTTTGCTTCTGGTAGTAGAACTATTGAACTTCAATATGTGCTACTTATTAGTAACACAATACTAACAAAAGGGTAATGAAGCCTTTTTGAGTCTAAGAAGAAGCTTTTGTCCTGAGAGAAGTTTCAAACATCATTCCGACATGTGGCCAAGTTTGCAATAACACATCATTGTTAATTCTTCTGCTAAACTTACCAATGTAACATATGCTTCTCTTTCTCATAGTGTCTCTTTTTTAAGCATGTACAAATGACAGCTATCTTTTTCGCACGCGTATTTGAATATCTGTACGATCCCATCTTGAACATTTACACCTATTGTCATATAATTGTCCCAATGACTTTTTCATCATCCCTTCATGTGTCGTACCTTCTTATTTATTTGAATTATATCATCATACATTTTTAATTTAACAGTGCTTACACTAGCTATCTCCAAAGCATAATCATCGTCCATAAATACAAATGCTCATGAGATTGGTTTACACTGATGAAACCATTCTTTCAGAAAAGCCATGTGTGAGGTGGCCACTAAGTCCATAAGTTGAACATCAGCAATATGGGATCTGCCTTATATTGTTTCGCCGTCGTCTAAGGTACTTTCAACATTACTTTGAAGGTTTGTCACATTCCTCTCTACATTTTTTTTATTACACCAACAATCTTTCTTAAGGAGCCTTTTCTTGCCAAAGTAGTGGCATTTAATGTTCTTCTTACTCTTTGACTTGGATCTACGATGATTTTGGCTCCCACTTCTCTACATTCTTTTTATTGCTGCAACAATCATTCTTGAGGTTCCTTTTCTTGCCACAATTATAGCATTTAATATTCTTCTTGCTCCTTGTCTTGGATCTATCGTGATTTTGGCTCCCACTGGATGCGTTGGTCTCCCTCTCATTATTATTAATGCCTCCACTTGTTGTGAATTGGCCAATATATCTTCCTTGTTCTTGAGCTTATGTTCTTTTTCCAAAACAGTAGTTGCAACCTCCTCAAAGAGTTGAGAGTTTGGAAGAATATTATTGGTAAGGTAGATAATGAGTCGATCATATGAATCTGGTAGACTTTGAAGCAGAAGTTCTGTAGGCTCATTTACATCTATTTTGTAACTCAATTTTGAGAGTTTAGAACAGAGTATTCATAGTGTTGATGTGATCCATCAGCAAAGTAAATTTTGGCATTTGAAGAGTGTAGAGTCTTCTCTTGAAGAAAATTTGTTATGTAGTTAATTGGCCTCGTACAACTTTGTTGAAGTGTCCAAATCTCTTTTGTAGTCTTTTTCTATTCTACGTTTGACAAGACTTCATCAGCTAGACTCAGGTGCAGATTGGCAATAGCCTTATCATTCGTTTTCTTCGATTTGATATCGCTAATAGTTTTCGCCGGTCTTTCTCCAATAGCCTCCGATCAATCTTCTTTTGTTAGGATTGCCTTCTTCATTTTTCATAACGAGAAATTATTCTCATTAGACTTCTTTATTTCAAACTTCATAGCCATTGTTAAAAATGCTTCTTTCCACTAACTAGATCTAAATGTAGCTCGAAAACCAATAATAAACCTACGCCCTAATACCACTGTCAGGAAGTTGTGGTACGAGGCACAAAAATGCAACTGAAGTGGAAATGAGAAAAATGAGGAAAAATTGACGAACAAAAAGCACTGACAAACTAAAGAAGAATTTCCTTGTACCAAAAGGATTACAACAACTTCTCTTACTAGAAGGAGGCACAATAACAATAACCTCTCTCTTTTAACAGGAGAAAACATCTTTCAAACAAAGGAAATACTAGGTATCCTTCTTTTGCCTCTAACTTTCTCTATCTCTTGGTTTTCTCTCAAGAATTGGATATCATAATTAAATGGTTTTATGCCCTATATACAGGAGTAAAAAGAAGTATGAACACCAAATTGCAGCTGCACAATGTGAACACCAAATTTCAGCGGAACAAAAAATTGGCTTTTCCACCACAAAATGAGCGTCAAAACTCACAACCAATGTTTAATTACAATACTAGAGAACAACATTGAAGCAATATCACAGTTTTTCGCGAAGATATGGAGGGTGAAAATATTGCAAATATAGCAGAAGAGGTTAATTATCAATTATCAAAAAAAATCCAAACGATATATCAAAATGAGTAGCTCTATATGTAAGCGTTCTAATGAGTAAATCAAAACATAACTCCTGCTTTCACAAGAGTCCAGCTATGTTAAACTTAAATATTCATCACATAGCTCAATCATTCCAAAAATAAGACATTAATCCAACACTAATTACTGACATTTGGAATAAGAATAGCTAGTAAAATAAAAATTAAAAAATCGAATATAAAACACGGAGACAAACCTTGCCTTCTGAAGAAGCGAAATCTATAGCAGGAGGAGAAGGGAGTACTCTCCTGTACAAGCCTGCCGTCCCTGCTGTCGACATTGCTGCACTGTTTGGTTCTCTCCTAATTCTGTATGTATATGTATATATACACAGATACGCACAGTGGAATAATTCCCCATAACCAATGTTTTGGCGCAAAATGTGGAATTTCGAAGGAATAATGGGCGCGTTGGACCAGAAAAAAGTCTGTTTTGGAATATTCATGTTTGGGTAAAAGCTTAAAAGTTACGAATTGTGCTACAGAAAAACATACAGGTACTTCACGGAATATACACATTAGTGGGCCCACCTCAATAAAATATTCACATGGGGTCACCTCCACATGTCTTCTCTAAAAGCTCCATGAGAAAATGTCTCGTACATTGGGCATTTTCCAAAAGTTACAAGTAATGAAAGTAAATTTTACAGTAACAAATAATTTAAACTCTAAGGCCATCTCCAAAAGATTTTTTATTTTTAAAGAGCATATTTTATCATCTCTTTATATTTAATATTTAATTTATTTAATCCCAAAAAATATTTATTATTTTCCCTATGTTTTATTTTATTTAGTCTTTTTTTAGATTATTTTATTATGAAACTCTTTGAATGCATTTAATTAGAAAGTGAGTCAAACTTATTTTCTAAATTAAAATGTTAATTTAAAAAGTTACTTGAAGCATGATTTTAAAGATTGTCTCTTTAAAATAGATGGTATTTTATATTTAAAGAGTCTTTTCTAGATGCTATAAAAAGTTAAATAAATATATAAGTAATCATTCCACATCTAAGGGTTAACACTTGAGATTTAAAGAGTTAATATTTAAAAATCAACTTCAAAAGGCTTTCATTATCTATTCTTACTTTATAATGATTATATCTAGCCCCCGTTTCCTCCAATCCCCTTCTCATTCTTTCTCTCTTATTTTCAACTATTCAATCTTCCATAAAATAATATTACATTCAAATAAAAAACTTTTTCATTTTTTTTCAAGTACACATTTTAAAAAATAATAATAATATTATTCCAACCATTAAATTTGAATAGAATGGGGGTCAAACGAGAGCTAATTTGTTACAAATATCACAACTCTAGTTTCTAAGTTATTCAAATCATATTTGAATTGATTGGTTATTATCATCTAAAAAGAAATGTGTTATAAGGAATATGTTATATAAAAGATAATGAAAAAATCAATAAGCATTTATTGAAGAAAACAAAATAAAGAGGTAAAATAGATATTATTTGTAGAGTAAAAAAAAAATCCACTTTCTAAAATAGTTAATTTTTTCCTCGTCAAACCCGATATCCGTGGGGATCCGCCCTAAATGGGGTGAGGATTACCCACTTAATCGGGTTGGGTACGGGGTGGGAAATTCCACTCCGAGGCGAGTACGGGTAACGAGGGCCTCACTCAGTCCTGTTTATTTTTATTTTTTTAAAGAACTCAATACTTTAAGGCCTTCTTCGATTTTCATTATTTTTAAAATACATTTTTCCCTCTATTCTTTTTAACTACACATTTTTTAATAAAATGAAATTACACGTAAATCCAAAACTTTTACTTATATTTTAACCACACATTTTCCATCACTCTCCTATTCTAAAATGCATTATTAGAAAATAATGAGGCTCAAACAAACACTAAATAGAAAAACTCCATGAAATTTCATTAATTCTAATAGAAAATGGTAACTTAGATTGTCTAAGGAATACGGAAAATAATAAAAACCTTAGTTTATCAAATATATTCGAATAATTTAACTTTTAAAAATAAATAAATTAATTAAAAATTTTAATAACTATATTATTGACTCACTTGAATGAATGTGCCACTAAAATGAATTATCAAGAAAAATAAAAAAAAAATAAAGGATACGTAAACGGGGCAACCACCTCAACCCACCCCGCCTTAAATGGGTAATGGGGCAAGAAAATACCTGACGGGGTGGGAAGCGGGGAGCTTGGTCCGTTGCCATCCCTACGACTAAAGTTGCAAAAATAAGAACTTGAATTCCACTTGTAAATAATACGAGAAACATGACAATGATAGAAACCATCGAAGGTACTAAAGAAATAAGAACAATAATTACTAATTCATCCAGTAATATATTCTTGAAAAGTCGAAAACTAAGTGATAAGAGTTTATTGAACAAAAAAAATGTTTGGCTCTCTAGAATTGAGAGAGAGAGAGGACTAAAGAGCTTATTGAAAATACGTTAATAAAAAATAAAAAAATAAATGTTGAACATTTAGATAGTAGACATTACTATTAAAATAAGCGATTTACGTAGTTTTAACTTCAACTAGCACATGAGTTTGTTTTGACTCCAAAATTTTCCCTTTAAACGGTCCTCCTAGGCTTGGGCTTGGAGAAAAGGCCTACCTCGTACTATCGTGGGAAAATAGATAGTCAACTCTACGTTGACCGTCTAAGCGAAAAATGTACGCGCCTTCTTTTGGAAGTGGTATTTTTCTGATTTTGAAGTTGAGCTCAACAAACTACTCTATATCATTGTTAAAACTTAAATGGGAAATATGTCCAACATAAATTCATCGGAGACCAAACTCAGCCTACAAATATACTTTTCTCTTCTTACAAAAAATACATTATTGATTTAGAGTATTTATGATTTTAAAAATTATATTTTTATTGAAAACTTGAAAAATATGTTAGAAATTTAGATTATTGTTTAAAATGTACGTTATTTTTTTTATTTATCTACAATAATTAAAATAATTTTAATATTTTGGAAAACTTCTTATTATGTCCAAGCTTCATAGAGACACAATTAAGCTTGTAAAATTTAAGGCTTGATCTCTATGCTTTTACGTTGAAAATGTATCTACAAATATAATTACATTCCTGATGTCCATCATTTTTTATCAAAGACGAATAAACAAAAGTATTGATTTTGAAAAAAGTATGAACAGGTCCAGTTTGATTCCAAGTTGAAACTTAAAAGTTCAGATTGTTGAAAAAAATTTACTTTTTGCAGCATCTTGCTTTTACTTGTCCGTATATATGTTTTTCTGGTCACTTGTTGGTTAGGGCTGGATAAAAATTTCGAAATTGAATCAAATCCAAATTTAATTGAATCGAGCGATTCTTTTTATGTTAAATACCAAAACGGATATTTGAATTGAGAATTGATGTATTTGGTTCGATTCTTGACTCTAAACCAAAAATCAAATAACCAATTATAAGCCGAATTTCCCTAGTTTTTTTAAAATTTTTATATTAAATAAACTAAATTAATTTTTTTTAAAAAGATAAATTTGCCAACTAATTAATTAACTCCTAAAATGGTTGATACCGAATTTGTGTTTATTTAAATATATTTTTAGAATTTTTATGTAAATAATAATTAAGAGTTCAAACTATTTTCATTTTTCTCTAATTTTTATAATTACGTTTTCAAAAATTTTATTTTACATTTTTTAGAAGTATATATATATATATATATATATATATTTTAGAATTTTAGTTTTTTTTTAAAGTTTATTCTTTATTATTTTTTGATAATTTTTTTGGAAATTTGGTCAAATAACCCGGTTGGACAATGAGTTTGGATATGCCTTTGACAACATTGAAATAGAATAAAATTAAAATTAAAATGTTTTAATCAGTAAAATGACAAAGTTTTCCTTCAATTTTTATCCAATTATTCTCCCAACTTCTTTCATTTCACCTTCTTCTTTCTTCATTTTCACTATGAAACCCTATTACCCAAATTTGAATTCTAAAACCATCTTCTTCATCTTAATTTTTAATACATTTCAATATTGAAAAAAAATTCTTTAATTCAAGTTTATTTCGCATTACTTCATCTCTCTGTGGAACAAGCTAGTACAACAAAAAAAGATAATTTGTTTTTCAATTTTTTTTAAAAAAATTTCAAAATGTGGTTTTTTGCTTCCATTGGTGTAGGTTTTAGCACCAGCATGTTCCCTGAGAATAATACTTGTGTCATTACTGAGATGAAAAGTTCTAAAAGAATGACATAAGTGCCATTATAGAAAGATAACTTATCCATGAGAACGACACATATGTCGTTACTATAAAGAAAATAGGTATAAGTAGCCACAACTGATCTATACCTCGAGAGCGAGTAAGTTGAATTCATTTTAGTTGCAAGATGGACATATCGTTTACAAAAGTTGATAAATTTGCTCATTAATTATATTTTCTAATGGATCAATACAATAGCTTGTGATTTTACCAACTTGATATTATATAATCTATATCAATTCAACCGTTCTTTGTCATGTCATCAACCTTTCTGAGTTTCTAAGTTAGGGAATTCAATATTTGAGATTACTGTGTTGAAAAAGAAGCAAACTATTTGAAAAATCAACAGAACGGCATAAGGACCGTTCAACAACACTGGTGCTTTTTTGTCTATAAATATGAGTATAAGTAGCCACAACCCATCCACGCTACGAAAACTAGTAAGTTGAACTTATTTCATCTGCAAGATGGACATGCTATTTACAAAAGTTGAGAGATGTACTCATTAACTGTATTTTCTAATGAATCAATACAATGACTTGCGATTTCACCGACTCAATTTCATATAATCTATGTCAATTCAATCATTCTATGTCGCGTAATCAACATTTATGACTTTTTAAGTTAAAGGATTAAATATTTGAGATCGTTGCATTGAAAAAGAAATAAAATATTTAAGAAATCAATAGAATGACACAAGTACCGTTAATACACTTGTGTCGTTCTACCTAAACACGAGTATAGGCAGTCACAACCCATCCATGTCACAATAACCAATAAGATGAATTCATTTTAGTTGCAAGATGGATATACGATTTACAAAAGTTGAGAAATGTATTCATTAATTATATTTCCTAACGAATTAATACAATGCCTTGTGATTTTACTAATTTGATATCGCATAACCTATATCAATTCAATCGTTCTTTGTCACATGATCAACCTTTCCGACTTCTTTAAATTAGGGGATCCAATATTTGAGGTCATTTCGTTAGAAAATAAGCAAAATATTTGAAAAATCAACATAACAACACAAGAGCTATTAAACGACACTCGTGTCGTTTTGTTTATAAACATGAGTATAAACAACCATGATTGATCCATGTCCCAAGAACCAACAAATTGAACTCATTTCAGTTGTAAGATGGACATTCCATTAACAAAAGTTGAAAGATGTGCTCATTAGTCATATTTTCTAG